GGTCATCTGGACAGTTTCTTTTTTTTGTTGTTGTTGAGACATTTCTTCCCTCATCCAAAGGACTTCATCAGTCCGAGGAGCCACAACAAACTGAGTTCCACAAGCAGCACACTCACATAGTGGATCAACCAGTTTGCTGGTGATAAGATGGTTTCTGGGGCCCGCCCTCTCCCCCACTGACTCCTCTGAAGTGGCCATAGCCAAAGTCATTCCAAACATCAAAGTTCATGCTCAATAGTCCAGGTAAAAAAAAAATCAACAAATTTCAGTCAGGTCATCTGGACATTGTTTTTGTTTTTTGTTTTTTTGGGGTGGGGGGGGTTAAGAGGTTTCGTCCTTCATCCAAAGGACTTCATCAGTCAGATGAACAACAAACTGAGTTCCACATGCAGCACACTCACATACTGAACCAAACAGTTTGCTGGTGGTAAGATGGTTTCTGGGGGACCCCCTCCCCCGCCCTCTCCCCTGTCTCCCCCATTTTGATGTTTTGAACCACTTTGGCTATGGGAGCCTCAGAGAAGTCATTGAGGGAGAGGGCGGGCCCCAGAAACCATCTTATCACCAGCAAGCTAGTTGGTCCACTATGTGAGTGTGCTGCATGTGGAACTCAGTTTGTTGTAGCTCCTCAAACTGTTGAAGTCCTTTGGATGAAGGACGGAACCTCTAAAAAAAAAAAAATAACGTCCAGATGACCTGACTGAACTCTGTTGGATGTTTTTTTAACCTGGATTATTGATTCAAGGATTCAATGATTCAAGGTTCTTTATTGTCATTCGCATCACATGCGGTACATGAGGTGGAACAAAATTGTGTACACAAGGTCTCAGTTACATCCAACAAAAGCAAAAGTATGAACTGTAAAAGAAACTGTAATAAAGATTTAACATGTGAATTAGGAATACATTAAACGCTTAATGGTACAAATAATACTGAGCATGAACTTTGATGCGAACTGACGGTTACACCAAATTTTAACACAACATCTGCAAGGTCGACTAGATTAAATCTATTTTTGTGTTTTATAAATTCAGTTGGTAGTGGTGACTTCTTTGAATGGTTAGTTCTGAAGGTCAAACAGCTGTAGAGATGCATACAATGACTATTGCACCCAATGGTTCATGATATATTTTGCTAACTGTCAGACAAAGTTGACTTCAAATGGTTCATGGCAAAAATGTAAAGAATCCTCTTGCACAGTCTGTTAGAGCTCAGACTCTGTGTTGGGAATCAGTCTACTTATTCCCTCATCTCTAAAATTCATTGAGGTACAGCCATTTTGTTTCTGTTATTTTAGGTCAGTTGGTTGTGTTAACCATGTTGAATTGGGTTTACTTCCAAAGATAATTAGTTGTAGGTACTGATGGTTAGATTTTAAAATACCATTAAAATTTGTTCACGGATTAATGAGATATCTTACTAATGGTATATAAAAACCAATGCGCACAGGCAAAGACATTACTGGTCCACCTTCACCTTCAGTAAAATGCTAGCAAGAGCTTAAATAAGATGCATGCTTACTGTTCGCTTAGAAACAAAACTAAGATTTTGCATCACTTAATCATTTGAAGGACAGTCTTACACAAATGAAATCTTCAATGATGGGAGGCAGAGCAACAAAAAGATGTCAAAACATGTGCTCTAACTCCAACTGCTGAGGCTAATGGTTTATGGATGGTTTGAGGCAGGAACACCCAAACAGCTGTACACTGCTGTTTTAAACACAACGGTGGTCTGAGTTGTTGGAAAATGACTCATCTTAAGAACCTTTATGAGGAGGACATTGCGTTTGATTCTCCAAGGTACAAATAAAACAAATGAGTTAGACTCTACCAAAAGAATGTGCAAATGTAAATCTTGTGTTAATTGTGATCTTTCTCAAAGACACCCAGACAGAGTTCAACATACCAATTCACTGTCGTCAAAAAATCAAAGTTCTGCAAGTGACTAAAGCGATAATCTGATTTTAAAGTTGAACACCTGAGAAGATAACTCCCAGCCTGCTTTTGGTTGTGTATCCAGAAAAGCTCTTGTTCTTTTTTTTTTTATCTGCGTATCTGCAAAGACAAGATGAAAGCTGCAAGTGTTTTGATTACACAGAAAGAAACCACAGAGTGAGAGAACTGTCTGCACTTGAACCTCTTTTAATCTCAACGTCCACAAGTCTTCTACAGATGCACAAGCTGGTCGCCATTATAACACATATGCCTCACATATTCCCCTCCACTCCGTGTAAAATCATTCTCACGGCACCTGAATGAGCATCCATTATGTTACATCTGTATCTGGACAGCTACCAAATCTTCCACTACAAGTCAGACTGGAATTCATTTGGACAGCCGTGTGATATGAAGCCCTTTGAGACACAGACACTTTATCCTGCAGACAGAGCTGCAATCCATCTCTGCCTCCAGAGAGCTGCCGTCAGATGAAAGAAATTTCTCTTTCATAAAGACTCGGTCCTTAAACAAATCGATTATCCATCAGCAAACTCTGTCTCTGAGGTGTTCCTATCTCTCCCTCTATTTTTTTTTTTCTTGTATTGCTGACACAATGACTCACAGCTTTCTGTTGTAACCGAACCAAAAGTTCTGTTGTTTACCAGTGGGAGGAATAAAGAATATCTAGTCCCATGAGTGAAGTTCCAGTGTTACTTTCATCTGTTTTATGTGAGTTACTCTACATAATATCCAATCCACGAGTTGTTTTGTTCTTCTGAGTAAATTCCAGTTTATAACCCTGACAGGAAGTGGACGAGGTTTGTGAGTGTCTGGGCTGTTTGCAGCATACCATCTACTACTGTGGACCCAACATGAATTCACTTCTGCTTCAAAATACCAGACAAGATCTAACTCACATTCTTGTTCCTGTTGTAAAGGTGATATTTCCTAAAGACTGAAAGGTATTTACATGGACTTGCAAAAGTATTCACCCTTTTTGATATATGCTGGTCTTGTAAAGAACTAATCAAAAACTTTAAATGTTGAGTATGGCAAAGGTAAGAGTTCAAGTCACATAAAAACATCATTTTATCTAACCCATGCACTCATCCATGCAGTCTCTACCACTGTCCTCTCCCACTATCTCTACCCCCACCCCCCACCACCCCTTCTGCTCTCTCTTTTCTCTGTCTTTTGTGTAAGAGAAGCCAGGGCCTCTCGGTGACATTAGCCCGGCTCCTGTAAAACTAATAATAACTGAGATTTGTGCAGGCTTAGCATTCTTTCCCTCCGTTCAGAGCAAGACGTTTGGTAGAATCTGAGGGATGGTGGTGGTGGTGGAAGTATGTGGAAGGTGCCCCAGTTTAAAGAAAAAAGCAACTTTGCAGATATGTGAGAAGGGAAGCCCAGTGAAGCACAAGATGAAGAAAAAGACAGAGAGGCCCCTCTTCCCTGGAACACACCACATACCATCAGTTTCTATGGGTCAGCGCCACTAAAATCCCACTGCATCCTCTCAAAACACATCATTGCTGTTAGCACTGCAACAATGCTTCATTTCTTGTGAAAAATGATTCAGTTCAAAGCAGTTGTTTAATGTATACGTGTTTTTACAAAGATATGTTAAAATATCATGGACAGATCTGTTTTAACTGACTATTAATGCTTGTTTTTAAACCTTAATGACCTTTATTTGACCTTAATTAGCTTCACAGATGCCTTCGAGCTTTTCATCAGACATTCTTAAAGGGAAACATGCCAATGGACATAATGTATAAGGTTTATGGGATTGTAGCCAAGCTTTCAGATGTTGAATATAAGGCCCTGTTTACACGAAAACAATTTCTGGTGAAAATGGAAGAGTTTTGTTGTGTTTCTGCTGTTCATTTACACGAAAATAGCAAATGTTTTCTCTGACAACGACACAATTTGAGAACGGGCTCCAGAGTGCAATGTTTCAGAAACGTCCCGGTGTCCGTTATTGTGTAAACAGAAAAAAATGGATCTTTTCTGTCAGAGAATCACTGGCGCATGCGCAGTATGACGTAAAACATAACGTTTTTCTACAATCCACCGAAGACGAAACTATCGACGATGGCGGATACCAGAGTAGTTTATGCTTCTGAGTCTGATAAATCTAACTACGGCTCTCCAACACAGTGCTCATTTTCTGTCTCTTTACTTAAATAATCGAAAATTAAATAAATATTTTTTGTTTTTGTTTTTTTAACGCATGCGCACTTAAGAGTTTCAAGTTTCAAATAACATAGCACCAACTAGTGGCATGGCAGAGGAATTACAGCATTTCCAGGTCTACCGTTGCTGTGTACTCAGAGATTGTAATTAAAATGTTTTCATATAAATGCGTTAATAGAAATGGAAAAATCTGTTTTCATTGGATCGTTGTAGTCTAAACAGGGCCTAAGAGGACATGTTGATCCAAGGTAAATCAGATTAATGGTGTGGATGATAAACAAAGAACCAAGTAAAACATCCAAAACGTCACTTTTTGAATTGTAATGGGCTTCACGGTAGAAGACACAGAATGGGTTCCATTATTAGCAAAAAATACTCAAAAGCCATACAAGAAAAATGCATGTTGATGAGTCTGAATGTTTCTGGGAGGCATTTCTACAATTACTGAGACAACTGAAACTTGTTGGACCAGTCACATCAGTTGTGCTTTGTAATTATTATGGAAGTGTACCAACATAGTTTGTGTCCACATACCAGGTGAACTCACAGATTCACTGAGATATCAGCATGCCTTGTTATAAAGAAAAAACTGTGATGCATTCATGAGTGTTCGACTGTGAATAGTTAAAACACATCTTTGAACACGACTTCCAGAGTTTTCACATTCCACTGAAAGGCAGTGGATTTGCTGTTTTCTCTCCTCTCACGAGAGCCACAGAAAATGAAACATGTTCCATCTGTACAACTATGAGGAGGTGTTTTAAGATGCAACAAGAGGACGAAAGGGGTGGTCTCACCCCAAAGAACCTGCCCTCACTAACCCCTCTGCCTTCCCTGCTTTCACCTCCCCTCCTCTTCCTCAGAGACATGTGCACACATTGAGCCAGCAGAGCTGGTGCACAGGCAGCTGCTCTGTTTCCCTTCCTTTTTGCTTTTCTTTCTTCATTCATTTTGTTCCCGTAACTCCCTCTTCTTGTTTTTCTACACTTTTCCCTTTCTTCTTTCTACTCTGTACTCCTGCTCTACACTTTTCTGCAGGCGGATATGAAGCCAGGACCGGTTGGAAGGAGAGAACTTGGGTAATATCTGCACACGAGCACCAGAGAGTCATACAGTGCACCAGAGGACCAGTAAACACTTAAAAGGACAAACTTTGAAACAGCAGGAAAAGAAGGAAAGAAAAGAGGATTTCCACAATAAGAGACTGAAGTTAAAGTGGAAGATGCAGACCATGCTGGGCTGCTTGGTGCTCCTGCTGTCCCTGTTGGTTCTGTCTACAGGAAGAAATGCTAGAAGAATACGGAAAAGAGGGATCAATCATAAGGTGGGGCTTCTAATTCTATTAATATGAGTCATATGAGTATGTGGATTTATGTCAAGCTGGAAGTAGGTGAAAGCTCACAGCACCACAGGACAGAGTCTGCTCTCTTTCTTGCTTCACGCATTCAGTTTTCAGGATGAGGGGAGAGTTAACCGGAGACATGGAGGAAAAATAAATCACAGAAATTAAAGAATGCATTCTTGTTTTTTTGGTATTGTAGTTACAAGAACAATAAATGTTTTTATATATTCTTTCAGAAAACTATACAATTTTGGATTTTTTTTTATTTTTTATTTTTATGTATGACAATGAATATCAGATCAAACTGAATAACATGCCACATAGATCAAATCAATAATAGCTTCAAATGTTTCAGTACGTTTTATCATTTATGGGAAATGGGATTACCTTATTTTTAGATTAAAATGTTTGAAAACAAAAAGATCCAATGGTACAGACCTGACCATCTACACTAGTGTAATTTAACGTAGAACTATAAATATATATATTTGTGCTTTAATGGATGTCAAACTATGGCCTGATGGGCAGTGGTGGCCGGTCCATAGAGGCAGGTGGGGCAGAGGTTCACCTAAATAAATTATTCTCCCACTAATTAGTTCTTCCTAATAAATAATATAAATTAAAGACTTATTTGATGAGCTTGCTGTGTATTGTTTTGTGGGGTTGTTTTTTTTCAACTATTTTATGTGAATTTTAAAATTATTTTTCGAGATTCATTCCCAGGTTTTTACTTATTTACCATCATGGGTTTAATGTTCAATGGCCCGCATTCATCAAGCAGATCTAAATGTGCAGCCAGTGATCTGAACAGGCAGGTTCAATAAAGTTTAATTTGGGGAATCTGATTTTCGTCCCTGTTGACACATTTGTCTGGCGTTAGCACGTTGATATGACCTCTACCTAGACCTGACGAGAGCTAAAACCCAGGAACAGATGCAGTGAAACCTGCTGAGACCAACAGTGGAGATATTCTGTTTTTAAATCTACTTGAATCAGAAAAAGGGGACCAGAAGAAAAAAACTGAGAACAGAGAGAAGTCAATGAAAAGGAGACTTCCACCAACATGGTGGGATGTTATTTAAACAGTGGTTTAACTGGTCAGTAACAACAGTCAATGGTTGAAGCAGTGGTCTTGTAACTGAGTGTTTGTGGGTTCAGCCCCCACTTGAATTGGATTTGATTTGGTGATGATGTATTGTATCTTTTTTTTTTTTCACATTTCTTTGTTTTTAGGGCGATTTCTCCAAACCTCTTTTGCCCATTTAACCGTTAATCTGGAGTATTATTTCAGAATTATTATTTTGATTCGTAATTAGAAATCCACTTCAGGAAGCTGTGCACCTGTCGGCTGGAGGTAGGAGGCGTCTGTTTCTCTGATTTATTAGACCAGACTGTTTTGTCATGAGACACAACCTTGAACCGCAGGGAGGGAGAATATAGGCAAAAACTTTGTGGACACACAAACAAAAGACGACAACAATAAATTAAATATTAAGCAACATATATCCATTTTTCTTTCACAGAAAATGTAAAGCAATTTGTAAAACTTTGTGTGGTTTGTGATTCAGGAAATTAATATCCGCCCCACTATTTTGCTGTTATTGGTGAAAATCTACATGGAGACATGAAAAAGACATGATAAGCATTAACATGATGATTTTGTACATTTTACCTTTGATCTTTGAGGAGAGAGTTTAATGTTCCTTTCAACATTGGAAAGAAAGCAGAAATTTGATTCTCAATAATATAAAAAAACATACAGCCAAGTTTTTTGAGTTTTGATCAGGAGCATTAAGCAGAACGAGCAACAGGGTGGAAAAGCTGCTAATTTTCAGGTTTCCATATGAGTAACTGAAGGGCACATGGGGTGTTCGGCATGAGTCTGTGTGTGTGTTTGTGAGCCTGTGTGTGTGTGCGTGTGTGTAAAGGATTATTAGGGCAGGAACTGAACTTGCAGACCAGGCCCCTGCTTGTTAACTCAGCTCAGTGTGTCTGACTGATCATCTCCAACAAGAACTCAGTCTACTGTGCTGATTTCTTTCCTGTCCTCTTTCTTTTCCTCTCTGCAACCTTTCATGCCTCAATGTTCTCAATCTCTGACCTCTTTCTGCCCTCGCTAGACTTTACTTTCTACTCTTCTCTCAGAATCAAACACACCGCTCCTCCTCTCTTTATCCTTCATCCGTGTGTTTTTCTCCCTCTCACATGTCTTCCACGTCTCCTGCTGCTTTCAGAATGGGCCAAAAGCTCAGTCCTGCTGGCTTCTTCTTCAAAAGTCCTGCAACTAAAACACACTGAGACAGATGTGGGAATGGAGCTTTAACTTTCTGCGTCTTTTGTAAAAAAAAAAATATTCACCCACACCCACATTCTCAGTCATAACATCAGGGATGTGCAGAAAGACAAATTATAGTTGGAATATTTTACAAAAATATGTGTCTTGGAAGAAAAAAATGTCTAATCAAACAAAACCAAGACCACCAACAGGCTCAGTATTTGTCATGCTTGGAACATTTTTAGAGGATTTCAACCAGATTCGAGTCTCAAAAGCAAACTTCAAAATGTTTGAAAACTCGAAGTGACATTTAAACCATCAAGTGTTTTTACAGATGCTTTCATTAATGTGTTGACAACATTATTTAAATACATTAACCTTTAATTCTCTACAGACTTTAATGGAATCGTTCTAATGTTAAAATGTTTTGTGAAACTATGAAAAATATTCCCTTTAAACAATTTTTAAGAAATTCACAAGCATCACTTCTATAAATTTTATACATTTTTTTCCCTAGTTTCAGAAAAAATTGTGTCATGAAACATCTGAATAACTAGAAGTGCACTTTCTACCAATGGTGGCTATTTTAATGTCATCTGCAAAATATCTGCAGATATCTGAACAAATGGGTTAAAGCCTTGAGCTGCAGTGAACTCAGTACTTTTGGATCTTATATTCAGTTTTGGCTGTTTTGTAACTGTTGATTTTGCCTTGTTAGTCAAAAAATGTTGATTTACAAAATGTACGCAATAAAAATAAAATCGACACGAAACTAGCAAAACTGTAGCTAAAAACTACAATTAGCAAGATGGAGGCTGCAAGCTAAAAGTAACAAAATAACAGCTAAAAGGTATAAAAAAATAGTAGCTAAAAGCTTAAATATGACAGTATGGTAGAGTCTGGTCAACTTACACAATGAAAATTTTAATATTTGAATATACCAAAAGTTTGGTAAGTTGTTTTTTTAAGGCAAATGCTATTCTAAGTTATAATAGAATTGTAAAAATTCTTCTCTATGTATGCTTTTATATCTAACATAAGGAGCTGCAATTTTGTGTGCACGCTGTTAAAACTGTGGTGTGAGTCTGGCTGTGAGTGCAGTTGTGTGTTTATGTGCACGAATCTTTGCACAAAGGAAGCAGAAACTCTGCACATCTGTCTGAGATCTGTCAGGCTGATCAACAGGCTGATCTCAGATCAGCTTTGGAGCCAGACAGGACCTCTGGTGGCATCCCCACAAACTCCACATTAATCAAAGAACACGAGGTTCAAAAAGAGACAAAAAGAAGTAAAAATAAAAGAATTAAAACTTAAAAATGAAAAGAAAAATTAAAAATGAGCTGCTGACATCAATTATAGAACCAGCATAATACGTCTTTTCAACACTATTAAAAGTGGAGAAAAAGTACAAGTTAAATAGACATGTCCAATACATTTTCTGTATTTTTCATCAAATCTGCACTGAATTACTTACTAAATATAAAATGTGTGCACTCAAAGCCACTCAAGTTGTCACAACCCAACAATACAAGCCCTCAACATACATACCACAGATAACCCCGAGTGTTTAATCTAAAGCAGCCATAACACAGTCTGGCGCAGACATCTGCCTGGACGTGCATGTACTTGCAAATCCTGTCTGATGCTAAAATCAAGCGTTTCTTTTAAGTGATGCGATGTGGAGAGTCCTGACACCTGGTATAAAGACGGAGGCTCTGCAGACGTGTTGAACCAGTTGTGCTTCTCGATCTTTGTTTGGCCAGCTGGTATTCTGGGCCTGATGGTGATTAAGCAGAGATATGCAGCGTGCACAATGATGGCTATTTCTTCTCAAAAATATTTATATTTAGAGGAGTAATATAAACGTAAAAACTTAAGATAAGCAGATATTTTGACATGAGCAATTTACAATACTGACTCCTTTTAAGCAAATGATTCCACTTGTGATGCTTCTTTAATCAGATGATGGTGATTAATGGCAATGAACAGCTGGTTTGGAAGTGCCTGTGCTTTTTTAAATAGCTCCTGCTGAGGATTATCCAGATGGCTCCAAGCTGGCAACACAAGACATTGTTCAGTAAAGCTAAAAGGATCAACAGTCAGCAGGAATGGACCATGTGGAGATGAAGGAAAACCTGTGGAAGGAAACAAATTATAACTGATTGGTCAAATAATAAGTGATGATGTTGTGAAACAAAGCAGAGAAAGTAAATGTGTGAAGGCTGAATGCTGATTTGATTTAATAATGAAATGTTAGTTAAAACAAGCGAAGAAAGGATCAAATTAGCAAAAACACAGCTAAAAGTTAATGTTAACATAACTGTAGCCGAAAGGGAAAAACTAGCAAAAAAGCAGCTAAAAGCTCAAATAAGAGAGTCAGGTGGAGCCTGTTCACCTTGCAATATGACATTTTAAATATTTCAGTATACCAAAAGCTTGGTAAGGTAAGAAAAACAAAGCAAATGTTATTCTGTTATGATAAGGGTTGTAAAAAATGCTTGTAAAAATGGATGCCTTTATGTCTAACATGAGAAATGTTGCTGCAAATGTGTGTGCACGCTCTTAAAACTGTGGTGAGAGTGAGACTGTTTCTGGCTGTGAGTGCAGTTGTGTGTTTATGTGCACGAATCTTTGCACAAAGGAAGCAGAAACGCTTCACATCTGTCTGAGATCTGTCAGTCTGATCAACAGGCTGATCTCGGATCAGCTTTGGAGCCAGACAAGGCCTCTGGTGGCATCTCCACAAACTCCACATTAATCAGCGAACACGAGGCTCAAAAAGAGACTAAAAGAAGTAAAGAATTAATAAATATATGAGCTGCGGAGATCAAATGTTAAAGAGCTAGCATAAACGGAGACAAGACAGAAATTGAAGTTCAAAGAGTGATGCGATGCAGACAGAGAAGATAATGTGCTCCCAGAAGAACATGAACATCAGTCCTGCTGATCGTGTGGTTCAATGGGGGAACAGGACGGTATAAAGGAGTGCAAATAAACAATTGGAACATCAGAGAGGTCTGAGCAGGACCGTGCAATGATGCTCATGATTAAAGCACAGCAGCACATCTGGAACACAACAGCATGGAAGAGCAGTAAGAGACAAACTATTAGCCCTGACAGTGAAGTGGATACAATCAGATTACTGAGATGTTTGTTGGCAAACATGAAGCAAAACGCTAAAGAGTCGTCTGTGATTATCATTTATCATTCATATCACTGTGTTGCTAATACAGAATCAGCAGAACCCCTACCTAAACACATTCTCATAAACAGGAAGGAGCTTTTGTAGGAAAGTCTCGCAGGAGCTGCTGGGAACAGATCGGATGTGAGACAAGCAGGGAGGCTAGAGCTCATTATGTTATTATCCCATCAGAGCAGGCTTTGGGCTTCCTCATTCACAGATCTAATTAAACTAGGAAATGTTTCTTCTCAGTACTTTACAACATTTTGTAAAGATTTTTTCTTCAATTTTAACCACATGCACACACAAAATAAATAAATAAATAAATGCAATCGTTAATTTTCTCATTTGTTGCACCATCTTAATCATGCTCAGGATCATGGACCTGCACCCAAGCCAGCACCACAAGGGTGAGATGTGTGGTACTCCCCAAATGGGTCACATGTCCATGTCAGGACCAACAGAGAAAGAACATTGTATCATTTCACCACAACAGCATTCTTTCATGTGATTTTGTCCATAAATTTAGGATAAATTGTAAAATACTTATTTATATTTTTTCAGAGTTTGCAGTAACTTTAATAATCTAACATCCAATGGCACAACTTTAATGGAAGTGAGAAAAATAATCGCACCACTTTTTTGCTAATTCTACCTGTGACTGCGTCAAAAATCTCCACCAAGTTTCCTGAAGTCGGTAGAAATGTTTATTCTTAGTTTTGCTAAAAGACAAACAATACTGAGCAATTATTTTAAAGATCCTAAACGTATCAAATAAATCCGAGAGAAACTTTGGAAACTGCAGATGAGTTTGTGTTAAATCTCTTCAATGATCAAAACCTTACAAGGGCTGATGATGATTGTTGGGGTTTCTGGAAATAAATTGAATGTTTAGCGATTTTTCCTAAAAAAAAAAAAAAAAAATCCAAGCGTTAAAAGAAATATACTAAAATAAAAGAGAAACTTATTCCAACATGTGAGGTACAATTCAAATTAGTGCAGTTGTGACTCAGCAGGGGGAGTCTGAATCTCAGAGGAATATTTGAAGAAGACTGTGATTTGTCTTGGAAGTAACTTTGAAATAAAAATATTATTGACTTCAAACACTTTTTAAACAACTTTAACTGCACGTTCAGGACTCTTTAAAACATTTTTACAAGCTGCTAAGCCGCACGCTATTCTCACCATTGTTCCTCGGGAGCAAATTCAGTCTGAGCCCACCCCTTAATGATCATTCAGCCACTAAACTCACAGCTGCCAGAATGAATTAAAGTGTGTTTAGAGAAAACACGTGGTGTTTGCTTTACCACCATCAGCTCCAAACGGTTTATTTCCTTTTGTGGTTAGTTTGGAGGAGCAGCTAAATAAATGGCACAGTTTAATGATGGTGAGAGCAACAGATCTATTTTAGAACTAGAGAAATTGCATTTCCTGCAAAAATGCAGTGCAAATGCTTATTGCTGAAGAACTTGCTGAAAAGCAGCTGAAATTAGCTAAAAACTGCTGAAATGTAGATGAAATTGAATCACAAGCCTAAGTTAGCAGAAGAAAGCAGAGAGGACATAGCAGAATTTAATGCCAATAAAAATAGCTGAAAAGTAGCTGAAAATGCAGAAAAAAACTTAAATTATCAGAAGGAAGTGGAAGGGACTGTAATGAAATAAAAAATGTGGAATTAGCTGAAAAACCTAAATTTATCACAAAACAGCTAAAAATTAGCTGAAACTAGCAGAAAAAAGCTTAAAGGAGCAAAGCAAGCTGAAATTAGCAGAAATAAGTTAATTAGGCTAAAAGTAGCAGAAATTACCACAAAAAAACTTGAATTTATTTGAAAACAGCTGAAATTTGCTAAAAGTAACTGAAAAGGTAGAACAAGCTTAAATTAGCAGAAGAAAGCAGAAAGAACACATATTAGGCAATTAGGTTGAAAGAAGCAGAAATGAGCTGAAAAAGTGGAAATTATCTGGAAAAAGATGAAATTAGCATAAAACCAGCTGAAAAGTAGCTAAAAAACAGAAAGAAGCTGAAATTACAAGAAGGAATTTGAGAGCATGTTTTTTTGTTGAATTAGTCTGAAAAAATTTGAAATGAGTGCAACAAATGTGAAATTAGCTGAAAAAGTTAAAATTAGCATGAAAATAGCTAAATAGTAGCTGAAGTAGAAGAAAAAGTTGAAACTTGCAGAAATCAGCCAAAAGGAGCATAAGAAGCTGAAATTAGCAGAAAGAAGTCAGAAGAAGCACATAAATGTTGTTGTTAGCAGAAAGAATCAGAAAAGAGCACAAAACAGCAAAAAAAATTATCTGAAAGTAGCTGAAAAAAGTTTAAAATTGCACAAGGAAGCTGAAAGACGCTGAAGCAGAACAAAATGTGAAAGGAGCAATAAAAGGTTGTAGACACGTCTAAAGATTTGAAGGATGTAAAATGAGCTCAATTCATTTTCTATGAGTAAATAATCAGTTTGAGAATTTCACTCAAATCTGTCTGGAGATTCATGAGATATTTTGCTAACGCTACAGACAAACAAACACAAAGACATGCAAAATCATTACTGCATCTCTTCCATTTGACCAAACCTTGTATGGAGAAGTTTTCATGATTAAAAAAGCAGCTTTTTCTATGAATTAAGAAAACATTTGATCTATTAAAAACAACTTTCACCTAAACAACAGTCTGTGGTTGATTCTTCTGTTGCACAAGAAAATAATTAGTTGTGCGATGCAGACTGTTCCATGAAAGTCAGTGAAGAGAATATAAAAAATTGAGAGCAGTTGTGCTTCTTGGGATTTTGCCATAATAAAACCCATGTGTGCACAACCTCTAACGATAAATGCTCACTTATACGCCACCACAAAACTTATTTATTAGCAACAGAACAAAACAGTAAAACAAAGACTTCCATAAAACTAGCGAGGACAATTTTTAAAAAGTAAGTTTTTCCTTGATCCAGTGGAGTGTTTTCTGCCTTCGGACTCTACAGGGAGGTGTTTGTCCCCACAGTCAGCCACATTTCGTATTCAGGTCACGACATCAGTAATCAGGCATGCATACAAAAGTCAACCTTTAGCTCCACTGTGCAAAAACAAATAAATAAATAAATCAAACTCAACCCATCCAGGTCTCCTGCTGCCCTCTGGAGGTCAAAAACAAAACTTTATTGCATCTTTGCAGGAGCATGAAGTGAATTATTCCTCTGAATAGTTTAAATTTGGAGAGTAGAAGGAAAGTCATCAGCCAGCAGAGAAACAAACATGATCAACTTTTCTTTCTTTCTTTTTTTTTCTGACCTTTAAGGACTACGAGTACCCCAACCAGTCCACACAACACCAAAAAAATGACCGGTGTCCACCGCCACCGCAGATGCTGCCAGAGCGGGCCTGTGATGTCCCCGGCTGCCGCTCAGACTCAGAATGTGAACGCCACAAACGATGCTGTTATAATGGCTGCATATACGCCTGCCTGGAGTCGGTTCAGCCCCCACCAGGTCAGTAGAGCAGCACAAGTGGGCTTTAAATAACACCTTTTTGGCTTGTTGCTGCTTTTTCAGAGTTTTATTCGTAATGGTTGATGAGCACAGCATTATTAAAATGTATATACTTGCGTTTTTGTTACGTTTTTATTCTGAGCAGTGTTGGATTGGCTGGTGCAGCCCAAGCCTCGGTGGTTAGGGGGTAACGGCTGGCTGCTAGATGGCCCTGAGGAGGTTCTGCAAGGTGGGTCCCCACACCTGACCACTCAATAAGTTCAGCAGAAGCAAACATGAGTAACTCAATTATTTAGTTTGCACGATTATTATTTTTTGGGGAAATTAAACATTCTCAGCTCCCATTCCATCAAAATTTGGTTTGTGCATGTCATTGTTCTGGCCTTACGCAGGAGTACACCTGAAAAAACTGAATGCGCACTCTATAACTAGTCAGCCATTTCACATGTTATCAGCCCATTAAATGACTGTTATCAGTTGTTATCATCCCAATAGGCTGCCTTCAGACTGTCCCTCCTAGTAGGTTTAAAGGGACGTTCTTATCGCTGATAACCGGAAGCTTTTGTTTTTGTTAACTTTATTTTAAACCTTTATTTACAATTTACCTACTACTTTTAAGCTGGATATCAAGGATTAACTTCAAATGAATTCCAGATTTAACAGTCATGAGGCTTTAATTTGGTCTATAAAAATAACTCACTTAAATAGAGGATATGAGGGTTTTTTGTTTGTTTGATATGAGCAAAATTCTGATCAATTCATATACAGTACAGCAATATATAAAGTACTAGAATTATGTTAATCTATAACCCTAACCTTAACCTTATAATTCTGTGATAACAACCTACTGAGCCCGCAAGGAGGGGCAGTCTGAAAGCATGAGGATGATAACAACTAATAACGGCCATTTAATGGGCAGATAACATTTGAAGCAGGTGAAATATTTTAAATGATGATAATATGCCACTTTAGTTAGAGATTTCTAATGTATGATGTGTTTGTCTTCACATCAGCTGAGGCCTGTAGTACAACTGAGGATGGAGACGAGCCTCTTCACTGTCCTACCGGCTACGAGTGCCACATCATCAACCCAGGAGACCCGGCTGCTGGCATCCCAAACCGGGGACAGTGCATCAAGCAACGCAGCAACTCTGGTATGTAAAAACAGCTTTGTCCTGATCTGCATGGGAAGGAGTGGTTATGCATAACTTTAAATCCAAGCTTTAAACAAACATGGATACGTTTTAATGACGTTTTCAAAATTAGTGCCCTTTTTGTCTGATCTAATAACCTTTAAAGTTCTTGTGGAGCAGCAGAGGGCGGGGGCAGAATGTTGGACCTTGCTTGCAGCTGTCTTGACACTTGGCAGAACGCACGAGTTTAGATGCCAAGTTTCTCTTTTTAAATGCGTCTAAAAATATGCAACCTGGGAAACCACTTAGACTGCAACAAGATGAACTGATGATGGGTGGCTGAGTGTGTTGGCAGAATTAATGAACCAATGATTTAATGAAGTTCATTTTATATTTTGCTCATTTATCACCTGTGTTTAAAGTGCACAAGTGTAATAAGAAGTTTTATTCTTACTATTTTCCTCATAGATGGACGAGGTTTGAGACACAAACCCTTTAAGGACCACAAGGAATACTTTGGTAAGTAGTTAAAAAAATGTATTTTGTTTCAAATCTTTGCAGATAAAATAAATAAATGAAACTAAATAGAAAATGTTCATTTTCTGTTAAAATTCAGTGAATTCTAAGTACTCCATACTACACTGTATGGAGTAATACTTAGTTAAGTTTCTAAAATTAGCTAAAAAAAAAAAAAAAAAGAAAAAAAAAGATTAAAATAGGTTGTTAAAGCTAAAAAAAAAAAAAAAAAAAGAAGCAAAACACTAAAAATAACATAACCTTGACTAAAAGCAAAAAGTAGCTAATGGCTAAATAAAATGTAAATATAGCAAAAATCAATTAAAAGTAGCTAAATAAATTCTATAATCTAGTAAAAAAAAATATTACAATTATCACTAAATGCAGCAAAACGTTAGCTAAAAATATCAAATAGTTGGCTAAAATAACAATGAATAGCAAAATGTACCATTTGCTACTTAAAGGTATCAAAACTAAAGGCTGGCTAAAAGCTACAAGTAGCAAAAAGCTAGCTAAAAATGTTAAAAGACTAGAAATAAGCTAAAAGTAGCATACTTGTGGCCAAAGCTAAACATGGCTTGTTAAAAGCTAAAGTAGCATATGAAGACTAAACTAAAGCTGATTTCACTCAGAAAACATGGGTTTTTAAGGATTTCGAGAACTCAAAAGAGAACATTTTAGACATAAAGTCAAATAAAAGTTGTGGAAACCAAAAGTCAAAGACTCATCTCCTGAGTGAGCCAAACGTTTTGATGTATGTACGACTAAAATAGTAGTTTGACTGAAAAACAAACAAACCATCCAACAAAAGAAACGGGGTAATATGTTATGCCTAAAAAAGCACTGAAAAATAATTATCACAACGTTTTTGTTTTATTGTTTGTTTGTTTGTTCCCGACAGGATCCAGTTCTAACAATGCAGTAGGCTACGAAAAACATAAACATCTGGGATGAAGTCCATCTTCAGGTATGTTGAACTGCTCCATCATAAAAACACTCATTCTCTGGGTCAGTCTTGAAATCAAAATGTGTTTTTTTTTATGTTGTCGTACCTGTCTGCAGGTACCTGACCTCAACCTCAGCTGGACCCTCAACAGAACCTGCAACATCTGCCCAACCTGTGAAGCAGGAGAAGATCTGATCTTTGTGACAGCTGCTACCTCCTCTTTACAAAGCCTCGCTTGAAGCCTGTTCTCGGTCACACATCTGTGGAGAGGCAGGTCTAATGTACTGTAAACGTTTCACAGCCAAAGAATAAGGTGCTTTTTGTCTAAAGTCTGGGAAAAACAGGATGAAGGCGATGATGGAAAAGCTGAGTGTGAGCAAACAGGTTGTGCACCACAACTATTCATAAATAATCTTCAAAGAACAAAGCAATAAAAGTTTATTTTTATTCTTTGCACTCCTCTTCTTTCTTCATTCTTACTCTCTAAACCAGACTACGTAACCTCACATCTGGCCAGCAGAGAAAATCAAGTCCACGTGGACCGTTTTACTTATTTTCAGACAAATTCTGCTCAAAGTTCCTCTTCTCAAATCTAAAAAGTTTTACAGACAATGAGAACAAAAAGTCCAGCTGTAGGGGTTGCAGCTCTGAATTAAATCCAAATGTGATTTCTAATCCAAATTAATACCTTTAGATTTAGAATTAGGTGCTCATGAGTGTGAGAACTGGGACATTGGTTTGTTCCAGCCAGAAATAAAAGTGCACATTTTAAAACTGCTTATTGAAGAGGCCATTCTAAAACATATCTTATAAGGGATAAATTTTATTTTATAAACATAAATTTAAAAAAAAAACAAATCTATAATCCCAGAATTGTTAATAGTTTGGTACAAAAAAAAAGTTATTTACAGTGATGGGTTGGATTGTCCTAAATAATAATAATATCCATCAAATGTCAGTATGATTATTTTAATCTTTCATACTTTTGTGTTGTTTTTTTTAAATAGAAAATTAAACATAATCAATAAAATTTCTTATAGAGTACAGAAATGTTGCATAAACAATTGGTGTTTTTTTTAACAATTAAACATATTTTTTTATGTTTTCATCACATGGTATGCTATGGTTACGAGATGTGGGGGGCAAAATACTTAAAATATCAGTCTGTGTGTGATTATTACTCTTTTACTGGTGCAGCGATTTTGTCTTGGTTATTTTAAATAAACATCACAATTAAAAAAACGGTTTTGTCTTTCACTCCTTTTATCTTTGTGCAACAAAGTTCAGTCAGATCATCTGGACAGTTTATTTTGTAGCGGAGACGTTTCGTCCTTAGGACTTCATCAGTCCGAGGAGCCACAAACAAACTGAGTCCCACAAGCAGCACACTCCCATAGTGGGCCATCTGCACCAGCAAACTGGAGACTCCCACCTCTCATGACCCCCGCAATCCAAAAAGTATGAAGCGGGTAAAAATAATGGATGGATGGATGGATGGATGGATGGATGGATGGATGGATGG